TTACTACTTGCCTAAACCTCCTTTTTCTCCAAAGTTCAGTCAACACACCCTCTTGTAGTGTGGCAGAAGTTGTTACATTGACTGTGGATGAGTTAAAAGATAGAGATAATAGAAGGAATAATATTGTTGTGTACAACATGCCAGAACCAAATGAGACCATGAGATCCAAAAGACAATCCAAGGACAATGATCAGGTAAAAGACATGCTGTGCAATGGCCTGTGTGTAGACATCCAGGAGGGTGAAATTGAACAAACCACTCGTCTAGGGATTCGTGGCAAGGGACCAGATGCAAAGCCTAGAGTTCTTTTGGTTCACTTCAACGACCCCAGTCTTCGGGATGAAGTCATTCAGGCATGCAGCAAGCTGCGCAAGACAGAAAAATGGAGAACAGTGTATATTGCACCTGATCTTTCTAAAGATCAGAGACAAGAGAGGTGGAATTTAAGAGAAGAATTAAAGAGGCGTAAGGAAGAGGGAGAAGAGAACCTGATAATACGAAATGGGAAAATCATCCCAGTTAAGCCGAGACCCAAATCCGGTAATAGAGGAAGCACACAGTCTCAGGATCCACGTTCAACTAAACAAATGATGCATGCAGCTAATCAAAAAGAGAGTACTGATCATTTGGTCTCACAGGGTGCAAGACGTAAAGGGTTACCTGAGTCGGCAGCTGTTGAGAAAACACATATTGGATCGGCAGCATCAACCGAACATTGTGTTAATAAAGTGGACATGGAGTCGGCTACCGAGCATGACGTCTTCCAGGAAGATGATAACTCTAGAAGCCAAAACACTGATATCTGACAGCAAGTGAAAGTATTGTACAGCAATGTTGACTCTCTATTGAATAAGAGAGATGAACTACTAACTCGCATTATTGTTGACAATATAGATGTGATCTGCCTGACAGAAATTTACCCGAAACATGTATCGATTAGCATTGAAGACTTTGAGTTCCAGATTCCTAGTTTTAGTATGTTTCTTCCTGAAAGAAGGAAAAGAGGAGTCATCATTTACACAAAATTAAGCCTTCAAGCTAAACAATATTTTTTTGAGGACCAGGAGTTTGATGAAAGTGTATGGTGCTCGTTTCAAACTACTCATCCAGCTTACTAATGGGATGTGTATACCGTAGCCCGAACAGTACTGTAGAGAACAATGATAAGCTGTTGGATCTTTTGAAAGCTGCAGATAACGCTATGCACTCACATTATGTAATCATAGGAGATTTTAATCTACCGGAAATTGACTGGTCCAGAAATGTGTCGAACTCTACTGAATTCAGCTTCTCACAAAGATTCTTAGTAATCACAGAAGATACATACATGCATCAGTTAGTGACAGAACCAACAAGGTTACGTGAAGGCCAAAGATCAAACGTATTAGATCTGATCTTAACAGATCAACCAGATTTCATCGATGACCTTGAACTTAAACCACCATTTGGAAAAAGTGACCATTTATCAATACAGTTTAATATGAGTCTGCTATATGAAGAGAAGTCTTTCACTCCAGCTTATGCATTCTTTAAAGGGAAATATGAGCAGCTAAGGGAGTACGTGGAGGAACACCATTGTTTTGAATGGACAGAGGAATACGTAAATCTGGAGGAGAAATATGCTTGCTTTGAGAAAACAATTATTGAGCTTACTAAGAAATTTGTACCGTTGAGACTTCCCGGATTGAAAGCCAGACCACAGTGGATGAATAGTGAGGTTAAGAAGGCGGTAAGGAGGAAACATTCAGCTTGGAATAAGCATCTGAGAGCTAGACGGAAGATACCTATTAATCCTGTCACTGTCAACCAAACAAGGGAGGAGTATAATGCTGTCAGAAACCTAGCAACCAGTGCCACCAGATCTGCTAAGGGAGGATTTGAACTCAAGATTTCGAAGGATGTAAAGAAGAATCCAAAGAGCGTCTGGAAGTACATTCAAAGCAAGTTGAAAGTCAAAAGTGCAATAGAGAACTTATGTAAGCCTGATGGTTCCATTGCAGAATCTGATAATGAGAAAGCTGAGTTACTCAACAATTACTTCTGCTCAGTTTTTACGAAGGAAAACCTCAACAACATTCCTGAGCTTCAAGGAAGAGATTACTCAGCTTGCTTAGAGGACATGATTATACATAGAGAGAAGATTCATCTCTTGATTGAGAAGATGGACCAAACTAAATCTGCTGGCCCAGATGGAATACACATTCGAATTCTAAAAGAATTAAAGCTTCACGTTATTGATTGTCTAGCTGAAATATTTAATGAATCTATGTCAACTGGATGTGTCCCGAAATCTTGGAAGTCAGCGAATGTTGTACCATTATTCAAGAAAGGCAAAAAATCTGACCCAGGAAATTACAGGCCAATAAGCCTCACAAGTGTAATTGGCAAGATCATGGAGACTGTGGTAAGGGATGAAATTGTAGAGCATTTGGAGTCTAATGATCTAATCACCAAACATCAACATGGTTTTAGAAAGGGTCACTCATGTTCTACCCAGCTACTAGAAGTGACAAATGATTGGACCAAGTACTTGGATACAGGTAACAACATTGACTGCATTTACCTGGACTACAGGAAAGCTTTTGACAGTGTACCTCATGCCAGACTGATGAAGAAATTACAGGCTTATGGAATCCGAGGAAAAGTGTGGAAATGGATCTCCAACTTCCTATCTGATCGCTCTCAACAAGTGATAGTGAATGGCTCCAAATCCTCTTCCTGCCTGGTCACAAGTGGTATTCCGCAAGGAAGCGTCCTCGGTCCAGTATTATTTACGATCTTCATTAACGACATTCCAGATTCATTATCTACGTCCGTATCATCTACAGTCAAACTCTTTGCAGACGACACTAAGCTGTACTCTCCTGTGAACTCACTAGAAGATAGTGCTGCATTACAACATGATCTAGATCTCCTTGCAAAGTGGACGGACAAGTGGCAACTCCCCGTAAATGAGTCAAAGACAAAGGTGATGCATCTTGGGAAGTCTAACCCTAATGTCAACTATAACCTCAACTCATCAATTTTGACATCTGTGGTTCTAGAGACTGATCTGGGAGTATCCTTCGACAACAACTTAAAGTTTTCAGCGCATGTAAACAGAGTTGCATCCTCTGCGAACAGGAAGCTTGGCCTGATTCGCCGCACCTTTTCATTCTTGGATGAATCGGGCCTTGTACACCTCTACAAGTCTTTAATAAGGCCATCCTTAGAATACTGCTCCAGTGTGTGGCACCCTGTTCTCAAGAGAGACCATCTAAAGCTGGAGAGAGTGCAACGCAGGATGACAAAAATTCTTCTATCTATTCGTGACTTGGAATATTCTGACCGGCTTAGACATTTGAAATTGCCCACACTTGCATACCGTCGTCACAGAGCGGATATGATACAAACATATAGACTTTTCCATGGGATTGACCGCAGTGACCCCAACCAATTCTTTCTGAGACCTTTGAATGACAGAACACGTGGCCACAGCTTCAAACTATCAAAAGTTAGAGCCTTCACTTCTATCCGAATGGGATCGTTTTCACAGCGAGTCGTCAATTTATGGAATGCGCTTCCAGCTTATGTAATTGATAGCCCATCTGTAAACTCATTCAAATCCAACCTGGAAAAAGCATGGAGAGCTAAATATGACATGTACAACCCTAAAGAAATGTTTCCTTGCTATTGCATTGTCCGGAGCTCCGACGTAGGCGCAATCCCCAGTACATACAGATATTAATCCTGCTGCAGAGGGGCATATAAGTAATTATACTTGAAGCCCAACATCAAGGTAAATCAAGGTAAAACACATGCTATACTGATATACTCTATTCTCTGCATATTTGATACTCTGTCCTTTGAACCCACAAGACAAAAGACAATTTTAGAATCTTAATAAAAAACTGCATTACATGTACATGCATGTAGATGATTTTCAGCATTTAAAAACAGAGTGTGTTCATGCAGCTTTCTTCCCTGCCCCCAATCTTCAAATAATCTGTCCAAGTATTAAAATGGTCAATTAATCTCAATGCCAACAAACAAGTTACTAAACTGAAGACTGCCTAAAGTTAAACTAGTCGAATGTATTTAGAGTCTAATCTGTTGGGAAGCGACAGGTTTATATATCATGTTCTTAATAATAATATGAATACGAGCTACACTCAAAGATGATAGAATGTATTTATTTTAAACAACACTCATATTCTCATCATCTAATTAACCCAAAATCTAGATCTACTACATGTAGATAGATATACACTGGAATCTGTAGACTGTAGGCATTGACATCCCCGCCCCTTACTCCTGCACCGAGGCCGTGCGTGGAAACGGGATGCAACTATGCTCAATGGTCAGCACCACTACAATCTACACACTGTACAGCGACAAGACTGTGCATGTGTCAGCAAACCAAAGCAAGAACATGATCAAAATAAACAGTTTACGTTACCTCATCCATTATTGAGAATAGATTTCCGTTCTTTGGAAAAGATGTAACCAGTTAATTTGGACCTGCAGCCTGAAATCTTGTATCACATCCGAGATTTATCCTGTGCCAGGCTCCTTTTCTCACCTTTCCAGCTATTTCTATCCACAGCCAATGCACGTACCGATAGTGTATACAAACGTAAACCCAGTCGTTCGTTCGCGTTTATTGTTGACATACATTAGCTGACACACGAGGGAATCCTTCCTCTTTGAGGTCGCCGAAAAAAAATGATACATCAAATGTGATTGGTTGAAATAATTTGTAAGAATTTGAGGAATTTAGGACAAGGTGTATTTATTTGTACACTCTGTCAAATGTGATATTTTTATCGAATGTTCATATGTACCTGACAGTTCCCAGCGGAAAATGCGTTGACTTACTAAAAAGTAATGAATCTCTCACAATTTAATCCTTTCACCTCGGTAAGAGACGTACTGTGGGAATTTTCCAGTTATCTACTTTGTGTCTGATCGTAAAGACTACAAATTTCAATTAGACATGAGCCAATCAGCAGCCATGTGACATTTCAATGCTAGATTGTTGGTCTGCTCTTCATTGCACGCATGATGCGTGAAGTTTGAGGCAACATAGAAAACACTCTATTTTTCGAATTTCAACAGTACCATCTTAATTTCAGTATGGAAAATGATCATTTCAATGATGCGATTCCCGTCGGGGAGATTGACGGAATGTGGTCGTTTGTGTGTCACGTAAGCCTGAAGATTTATACCCCATAAATGACAGTTTGCATTTGGCCACGTCATTCGTAAGAACATAGCTTGAAGCGGGGCAGTGCGAGGTAGCTTAGCCAGCAAGTTGGGCGGACCTCGCGTCTGCTTCCCGCTGCCAGTCACACTGAAAATATTACATGTAGTTGCGACATGTAGGCTACTATTTTGTACTATTGATAGTGTTACTATTAAACATGTTGACCGAAATTATATTTCAAAGGTCGATTTCTTATAATATGTCTAGAATTATTGTAAGGAGGGATATTGTTAATTCTTTAGATTCATGAAAGCTTTTTGGCGCTTGTTACAGTAATGAGTTAAAGGTATCTAAAATATGATCCGTAACTTCGGCGTGGAGATACCCTACTAAAACATACCCAAAATGAGGTAAATATTTATTAAATGTCCAAATAAAGATCATGAGTTAAAAGTCGTTATGTTTATTACCTGTTTTGTGTCAATTTTGTTATTTTTTCGGAAAAACAATGATATTAGTATACACTTTTTCACAGGTTTCACTGCAAACCGCTGCATAATACAAGTGCATATCGATGATGGGTTGCGGGCGCGCGTGAGCTTGTGTGAAGTTATCTACCGTAATGAGGATCTGAGACACTCGAAGAGGACTTGAGCCGTAGCATACACATGCTTTCTTTAATAGCAGATAGGCAAAGTAGACCATCAAACCAAACCAAACTAGTGTATGACACTTCTATGAATATATTTTTTTTGATTCCTTTTCTTATCTTTTTATTTTCATGTATTAGATTGACTGGACTGAACCCTGGCTGATCTCTCTGATTTCATTTCATCTCTTCTGCCTCATCATTACGGTCATCACCAGGAAATATAATAACTTCCAAATTATCCTGTTTCTCATCATGTGTAAGACATCAGCTTATTTCACCATTATTTACCACTCTTTGAGCATCCATCAGGACCAATCACGACTTTAGTGTCATTTATAGTCCGAAGAACTTTTTATTTTAGATCATACCTGAATATGATTTCAACAAAAATATGTGCTGCTTGGCAATTCTAATCTCCCATTCAACCTGTTATCTACATTTTAGTACACCTGATATTGGTAAAGTCCCATTCTTTTATTGATGTACCAAACATTGAATTTAACATTTGTTGCACAAAAATGCAAATTGATGTTTAAATAGAGGAAAATTTGTAGGACTATAACATTTTATAGTATTCGTTGAACATTATTATAGAACAAATTTGATTTTAAAATGTGATAACATGTGTGAAGAATTTCAAGCTATCAAAGGTTGAAAATAAATTTGTGTTTTGTAAGTATGGGTACTGAAATTCATATTGCTGCTTTCTCTTTTTCAACAGTATTGATGATCTACCTGTCAGAATACCTGAACCAGTATGCTGCCAAACATTACAGGTATGTTGGTGAAGTCATTAAGCTATGTTTATGATCTATTAATTTACTACATTTTTACCCAAAAGGAAGTCATGTTAGGCCATTGTCAAAGAGCAATGTCTGAGGCATGCAGATGAGCACAAGCCATACATTGTTTAAATTTGTCAGAAAGATAATAGGGGGAGGGGGTCATGGAGCAAATTGTGCTCCCAGAGCTGCTCAAATGCACCCTGAAGCCCTTCTACTAAACCCTTAACCCTGTATTTTCCTTCCTTTTAACTTGTGTTTTCTTATTGTAGGATTGCAAGAGTGTAAGGTTCCATTATAAAGCATTGAACCATGTCACATACATTTTTATATATATATATATATATATATATATATATACGGTGTATATTACAGCTGTTTATTTTTAAGTCTTCTCATCTTTAGTTTTGCCATGTTGACAAGTATTACAGATTACTTCCCAATTTGATATAGAAGCAAATTACAAATCCTGTTCTTAAAATGATATTGTTCAGTTGTTTTGAAGTGCTTGAAATTGTATCATAATCATTGCCTTTTTTCCCCTCTTGTATTGTCTCTTGTCTCCAGAATGTTCTCCAGATTACAGTACTTTGATTCTGGCGGCCTCTTCATTTCTGTTGTATACAATGTTCCTCTACTCATCAATTGTCTTGTTATGATTGTAAGTCTTATCCTTTCTCATTTTTTTGTTTCAAAATCAATTGATAATAAAAACAATTGGGTTTTCAGTATTTTTTTGGTTTTTTGTCTACCAAGTTTTGATTAATTCCTTCCATAAAAAACAGTGTCTGTTTATCTTAGCAGCCTGTCTGAGAATGAGTATAAGAAAGTAGAATTACATCTAAATTAGCATTAATTTGTAGCTATAAATGGTTTAGATATCCTCAGGATTTAATAATGTGTAAGAGTAAATCCTAGCTTGCGTCATGGTATGCCTCATTTTCTATACAGTAATCAGAAGATAAAGAGAAACTAATTTCATTAACTTACGTATAATTACATGGTTAATTCGTTTTGATTATCTTTAACTATTTTTTCCTTATTTCTCCAATTGAGAAAAGAGGTTTTTTTGGTGTTATGAATTCTGTGTAAATAGCTATTAAGTGCTCTTAATATGATCTGACAAATTTGTAGAGAGGGGTGCGCATCTTTGAATTCTGTATTTATGTACTTGCCACTCAGTGTCTTAGCATTGGCTTAGTAGAAGGGAAATGTCTTTCCTGGGGGGTGTTTCACAAAGTCTTTATCCTAAGTTGGACTTAAAATTTATGGAAAGCTGTTAGCATTTATGAAAATATTTTGTAAAAGTTATTTTAAAAGGCATAAAATGATGATTCAAATCATTCAAATTTTCTATCATCAAGGAGATTTCATGTTCTCGATGTGAAATTTAAAATACTTGAATTTTCGCTTTTGAATATATTTTATTTTAAGGCTACAAATGGCTCTCCATAATTTTTAAGTCCAACTTAGAGTTAAGTTGGACTTAGGATCTTTGTGAAACACCCCCCGAGGGCTATGATGATACTCACCTTTCTATCCTTCCTTGGTTTGAAAATAAAAACCATATATTCCTGCTATTTTGTTTTATTCCAGTGTATATGGCTACACACAGCGGCCCACATGGTGGTGTCGGTAAAGAGAGGAAAACTAAAGGAAAAGGCAAAATCAGAGGCATCAGAAATAGAGGATAAGCCAGTGGAGAAGGACACAGAAAGTAAAAAGAAAGACTGAAGAAGAGGTAAATTACTATAAGAATGTGATGTATTTCAGAAATTCATGCATAAATAATAAGATTTAAAGTGTATGGTGATGATAGTTACAGACAAGGAGAATTAATTGAATGTCAAGATATTACACAGTGTTGAGCAAGTTCATGCGTTTGGTGTTAGGATTGATCTTTTTTTTTTAATGTAATAAAATAAGTTGTGTCAAAATGTAATATAATAAATATTGTGTTGAAATATTCCTCTTATTTAGTTTCCTTTTAATGAATGTTGACCCTCTAACATTAATATGCTATTGCTATTTTTGGTTTGTATTTAATTTAAATTTAATGCTTGCTTGAAAGCTTCTCAAAGATTTGTTGACCTAGCAGCAACTAATAACTGTCAACTACAATAAAATTCATTAATTAAAACCCAGTGTACAGAAGAATATGATACATGTTCAAGAACTTTCACAAATACTCTATGACCACATTGGTTTTCATTACATATTGACATTTATTATACATGTTAATTGTGCACATTTGATATTGTATTGAAAGTAAGAAAAAGAAATAATAATAATAATATACTTTAGATATATATACCCTAAACTTGTTTTAATTCCAATATGCCATACACACCTAAAATGGCTCAGAGGTGAATACAAATTATGGAATGTTTCTTATTTTTGTTTTACTTATTAGTTTAATTTAAGCCCCATCTGGATTGTCTAGTTAAGATAATATTGATTCCTTAGTTTTGTTTCTTTTATTTATTGTTTTATTGTGAAGGGTAATAAAACACAATCTAATGGAATATATAATTTGTAATACCTGCATATGTATCTTTAGACAATGCTCATTGAATTTATTATACTTCAGACAATTAATTAATATTGAGCATTTTCTTATATACTGTATATTATAATTCTTAAAATACATGTATAAACAATATTTTCTTTCACAAATCAATAGCTTTTTAGAACATAAGCAGTATTTTTGTATTACCACATATAAAATAATTATAAAGTCTCTTTGCTCAGTATGAGAGATCCAATCATATTTTTAGTATCAAAAGTAGTATAAAATAGAAAAAGAATAAAGATCTGTGCAATGTTAAGTAGTGTTTGCATAATAATTGTCTGTATAGCAATATAATATAACTACAAGAAATAGATAATACAGGTAGTATTGTATACACTCTCTCTCCCAACTTGCATTTAGTTTTGATTACATAATTAGGACATTAAGGCCTCTGTAACATTCGCATTTCAATTTCTCTTCTCATAAATGTCTTTCAGATGCCCAATCCGATGTTGAGCTGCTTGCTTCATATGCAGGACATCATCACAGCATTGAACAGTCGTGGAAGATGGTTTACCAGGTTTGTGAAGAATGTCTCTCAGGCTGAGAAGACATAGGTTGAAGACTGCCCTCTGTGGTCATCCATCTGTACAGCATGAATGAAACAATACAATGTCAAAGATGGCTTCAAGATATAAAATTGCCTTTATAATATTTTTGTTACTATGAAAGGTACTATTTGATATACACTGTATGTGTATGATATACAGAGTTACAGAGATGTATGTGTTGTAATGTGGTTAAATTGTGCGTACATTTATGTTAAAAAGGACCCTTTCTATTCTATTTTAGTTTACCCACTTAATATCTCAGCAAAACTGAGCTTCGAGCCTACCTGCCTGACCATTTTATTTACATGTATAACATTAACCCCCCCCCCCCCCAACCCCTCTAATAAAATGTCCAGTCTTTAATAATACATTCCTAAGAAGGCCTTTGCCTTTAAACCTGCCAAGTTAAACTTGAAGTCTATCAGTCATTGTTTATAATTTTGTCGTTTTGTGCAGAGACTTTCAGTGTTTTTGTGGTTGTTTTGTTCGATCATTTTGTTACTTTTGTTATTTTGTTTTGTAATTAAAATGTTAATGACATGTACATGTAGTACCTTTGATAGACAAACAACAAAAATATTATTAAGGTCTAAGTCATGAGAGAATATGATATTTGAATGGATTAACAGGTTTTACTGTCCAGTCATGACATTCCTATCACTATTTGTACATAGTATTTATTGCTATTTTTCTTATAACATTTCTAATATTTTTGCTAACAGGTGAAGTCTGGTTATCATTGATTTAAATGTTCTTGTTTTAGTATAAGTATATAAAGCATACACCAAATCAGTTCAAACTAAAATAGAATTGCATGGTATACTTTATTTTTTGTTTGTCAATCTTTGAAATTGGAAATACATGTACAACATATCAAAAATGGTTATTGAAGGGTCATTTTCAGTCCTTCTTACTCCTACTCTTAGTCTTAGATGTAGGTTTTAAAACCCTAATTTTTGTGGGGATAATATTCCAAATTTCTTCTGAAGAGCAATGTCAGCAATGTCTGTGAACATGGAGTTCATTAATTTATTAAATATGAATCATTGATGCCAAAGATGTCAAAACATGTGTTCATTTCATTATTTTTTTACTTTTTCCACTGTGTCCAATATTCTAATTCCTCTGATGTCATAATGTTGAAATGGAATTAAGACAAGTCTATATGAAATACATTATTTAAAATCCAATATTGGTGAAGCTTCTTATAAAAGGGGTGATTTTGAATATCTCCAATCTCAAAGATATATTAAAATACATACATGTAGTTAGTGGTGGACTCATAAAGGACATGGTATTACGGTTATTCAAACTGGTCACCATGTTATTACCAAATACCTGCACCCCATACACACGCATGATGTTAAAGCGCTTGTCACATATCACCAATTGCGTTAACTATAATAACAAACTCTATCAAAAAAGGTATTGGACCTTGATGGTGCTTATTCATGTATGCTTTTGAGCCTTCAGCAACCATTTTCTCAGATCCAATCCCTTTTCTACATAGGGGCGGTGACATGCAATGTTTCTGGTACAGCATGTGTCTTTCCCCACATTTCACCCCAAATAAACCAAAAAAGAATCTCTTGATATGGCCATTGTATAATGGTAGTACTCTGATATCATTACCATTTGTCAAAGTCATATTAAGAGATGTTTTTATTCAGAAATGAAATATATGGATAAATGTCATATGTCATACATAACAAATGGCAAAGATTCGCCCATAGACCGATTCATATTATAGTTAATGTCTTTATTGTTATTAAAGATTATATGACCGACCCTCTTACACACTCACCACCATTATTCCTGAGGGGGGTAAGCTTCTACCAAAACCTTTCATCTATGTAAGCATCGCAAGGGGAACAAAAAAGATAGAGGGATGCAGAAAGTACCATAAGCATACAGGGTAGTGAATACAAGTTTCAACAATAATTTTGAATCGCTAGAAAGAAACAGAAAAGAAATCCATATATTGACCTGAAGATTATGGCTATATGTAAGGATGCAAGAGTAAAGGAGAAAATTACGGAGAATGTATTAAAGGGCAATACATTTTGCGAGTAACTAGAAAGCATTTAGAGAGAAAGATGCTTGAGGTTTATATTAAAATAAAGAAAGATTCTTGACAAAATCCAGTACAGTAACTACTGTATATAATGTGGCCCATGTACACCCAAGGAAGTTTGCTTGTCACTTTTAATGGGCTCATGAATTAATCGACAATTTTCTATTCCCCACCCCACCGTCTCATTAAAAAAATGTACCAGAATCATCCTTTAATAGAAGGGTGAGGGCAATGGTGGATCTAGTGGGGCCCAGGCCCCTCCCCTGGCCAAAAAATGGGTAAATTTAACCTTTAAAAAAAAGGTGGGTATTGAGTACAAACAAATAAGTGCTACCCCCCCCCCCCCCCCCCCCCCCCTCTCCTCTTTTTCGCCGGCTGGCTGATTCAGCGCTAAATGTTTTCTCACGAATTGGGCCCCCTATTTGTCCCTCTCCCTTGCCACCGGGTGAATCTGCCCCTGGGGGACGGGTCTATCCTGAAATAGATTTCGGTGCGAAAATTCGATTTATTCATATAATTATTTCTTGCCTTATTCCCACGATATTATTGCAGTAAATACACTTCATTGAGTGCAAACAGCACTATCTCGTAGAGTGCAAATATACATGCACACATTAACTGGAAGAAAAGGTCTTTAATCTGTACAATTGAAGGAGAACAAAATAATGACGCTTGACGAACTATTTTCTGGGTCATAATATCGTAAGTCCACATGTGGTCTCATTCGTTCTATAATGCATCGATTGAACATGTAAACAGTGAATTCACAAAACAAACATGAGGGAGAGAGAGAGAGAGAGAGAGTGTGTGTGAATAACACATTATTCATGCATGGTATCATTCGAACAGCAAAATAAATATATCATACCATGGTTACCATCAGTATGTTTACCCAGTCTGCTCGACACACTGTCTTGAGTTGAGAATTAAATGTAACGGTTCCCATGGATGCAGAGACGCGTGAACAATAACATGATCCCAAGTTTGATTCATAATACAAGAAGAGCGAAAAATTGCAGTTTATATACCTGGCCAAAGCATTTTAGTTCACCCACTTGGTAAGATCAAGGAGTTAGGTGTATCATTTAGGGCCTTATCATATCCCTTAATTTTCCTCTAACACGAGGAGAAAAAGGAAAGTTCCTCATACAGCAGGACAATTAGATGAAAGAGGGCTAATAAATGTAAACTGCTTGACCGCCACCAAAGCGCTCACAAAAGATAATAGGGACTTTTAGATTTGCACGTCGACATAGTGGACTGCTACTAGCAGTGCCTCACACGTAGCAGTCCACTATGTCGACGTGTAAATCTAAAAGTCACAGTGCCTTAAAAGGACGTCACACGTAGCAGTCCACTATGTCGACATGCAAATCTAAAATTCCCTAATACGAGCGAGCCAAGGCTGTTGCACAAATATATAAATAATTGAGAAGACAGATGATTAAGGGACAAGAAAACGTTAACGTTTATTTATCATAACGCATGTGAAAATACATGTGCTACTAGCTCAGGGAAAGATGCGTGGTGGTTTAACAAAATTAGCAAGAAGGGACTGGGGGAGCACGATATGATATGGTTCAGACTCAATTATGTAAACTTTTTTTTTAAAGTAGTTTCATTTCCGGGCTGGGGATTTTCTTTTGAACTTTATCCAGACATTACCATCTAAAATAGTGAAAGGCCTGATTATTCCTTTTTTTTTCTCCGAACTTTATCAAATCCTAAACCATCTTGAATCATGAAAGGCATAATATAACATGCGTGTTTTTTCCCGTTTTTTTTTTCTTCTTCAAAACTTTACCCTCGACCTCAACCTTTCAAAAATGAATCTATACCTTTAGTGACTATGACGAGGGCTATGATAACAGCTGCGACGACGACTAAGAGGACCATGAGAAACGAGATGATGAGGATCATATTCCGTCGGAATCTTTGTTTCTTCTTGATGATCGCTGTCCCCGCATCGAGGTCAGGATCGACTGGCATTGCAACGTCGATCTCTTCCTCGTCGTTGACCTGGAAGAATGATCGAAAATGGGGAGGTTTCTTCAATTGAAGCTAAATAAAGGCAAAGGTTTATAATAGCCGCAATTGTGCCTTCGGGCTGACTTCTTTAAACAATATCAACTTTCCAATGTTGTAATGCACAGGGGTTTTTTTTTTTTTTTAGTAAATAACATTAGGTTCATTTTTTCATGGGGTGACTTCTTGCCAGATTATCAGTTTCTACAGTTCCCCCTTGATGGAGTGTAAATCGTACAAAGCGAATACTTTACCACCATGGCCCTCTTGCATAAAAGTCATCAAGTTGCGATTGATCGCAACTCATACACAACTTGCAATCAAACGCATTGCATAAAGAGAGTTGCGTTTGGTCATAATTATATCTATCGTAAAGGTTTGTTGAGATGGAAAAGCTGCGCTTAATTGAAACTCTTTATTCAATTTGCGTTTGATTTTCAGAGTTGCTCATTATGCAAGAGGGCCTTGGAATATGAGATGACAGCAGCTGTCCGAATGTAGGTAATTTCAAAATTCTCGCTAGGCTGCAAGGAAGAAAAATTACCCCTCCCCAAGTATTTGGTGATTTTATATGGACACAGTAATATTGCAAAATTTGTGGGCGTATTTTAACCCTTCCCCATTATCAAAAATGATTATTAACCTCTCCGCTGTATGTCGTTGAAGTTTGACCATCTATACTCCTGACGTGTTTCAAAATGATCCCCGAGGTGTTCACCGTCGTCTTAGCGTCATTCGCATTCTTACTCGTCGACGTCGTCGGTTGTTCCACTTCAGAGTTGCGGTCTGTTTTCCGAAAGAGCGTTACCCCGTCATCGTTTTGTTTTGTCCCAGGTAGTTTCGGACGTTGCGTAGCAGGGATTTCAAGACTTGCGTCAAGTCGGGTATGGGTCCGTATCGTTTTCGAGTTCGGCCCTGATCCTCGCCCTAAGTCCAATTTCTTTGCAATAGACGATCCGGGTAAAGGTACTTGCCGTTTCGCTGGGGGTCGTGGTGGAACCGTCCGAGATTGTTCATCGCATGTAGGCCTACTTTGAGAAGAATTAAGAATAACGTCGGAAGTTCTTAAAGACGTTGATGAAGGTAAAATTGCTGTTTGATCGACAGAATTGCCCCCTAGGTCGTTTTCTATCCGGTCGTCTTCTGAGTTTTGAAGATCTAGTTCAGCGTAAATAGGATCACGTACTGGTTCAACCGGCGTACCGTTTACCTCCCCATCAAAGCGTCCCACCCCTGACGTTCCAGCTGGTAACGAGGATGATGTCGGCTGCGAAGACGACGACGACGCACCTGTCGCCGAACGTGACACTGGTCTATCGACGTCATCCTCCTCCTCTTCTTCTACAAAGTTAGCGCCTGGAATCCTAGCATACGGATGTGTCTGTATGCTGCTGTGCCCCTGAGTCGTTGCAGGGGCTGATGATGCGGGTGGGGGCTTGGGGGCGTTAAGCTCTTTTTCGGAGGCGGGGACCAGAGCTGTTTGTTGCAGACCAGGAGTCTCGGCGTATATGTGCAATCTACGATTGTATTCGTCATCGGGTGCCTTGCGGTCCCTCATCTGTAGAAATTAGACAAAGTGAATAAAATAAATACCATCACCGGCATTTTCTCATTTTGAAATATATTAAAAAATCATGAAATATATCAAAAATCTTTATCGCCCTAGTTCCACTACATTGAATTTTACTTGCCAGTATTCTAATGTAAAATACAATGAATACATTACGTGCAAACAAGAAAATAGGGGTCATGTTTCATCAGTCTAGCCCCTCCCACTATACTTTTCAAACATGTAATATACTGTTTCGAGTCTCTTATCAAAATAATGCTCAAAGAAAGTAAAATCGATCCTCTTGCGTGTCTAGGGGGTCTCTATTGTATAGGACTGGTATGATGAAGGACATGTCATTTAATTTTGGGCAGTTTTGGAAGCAGATAAAACGGTTGAAAAAAGTGGTTGCCTGGCTCCCGAGTCTAAACTATAATGCTTCCATACCTAGGTGCACTTATTTTGGGCTCGTATTTGGGCCTGTGACGCCTCATATTTGGGCAAAGCAACAAGCTGTTCTCTTTGTGAGTACTGCATCTTCTTTCGACAAAAATTACACCGTCAATGCAAAAATGTGTCAATGATTTGTTTAACTCGCTCGCAAATTTATTAACTAAAAAAATAATATTTTCTAACGAGTGACTATACTTTCATTCTGACAACGATTTCTGTCCTAAGAAAATTGTGTCGTTTGTTTCCCTCCTTCAAACCACAGGATGACCATGTAAAATTACGGGGCAGACGATCAGACGATCTTTTACAAAGAGATAAATCGATCGACGGTTGGTCTGAGTAGATTACAAGTATAACAGTAACCGAAAATCGATATCGAGTTATTCCCAAAAGACAAATTGCTTCAAAATAAGTAATCCAATCTGCATCATAGCAGAAAGGTTAGATCATAAGGCATTTCTTGTTAAATGGTAATAAATCAAAGATGAAGTTCGGGGGTTTTCAACGTTTGTGTGTGAGTGTGGATCCCATTGAGGGTGTGTGTGTGTGGGGGGGGGGGTAGAGCTAGACAGGGGCGCCAATATGCCTGCTGATTGGGAGGTTGGGACACGTTACCGGAAACTCAGTTCAGCGGGTTTCATTCCCCCGGAAATTTTGGAGACGAAATGGGGAAGGGGGTAAAGCACGTAGTAACCCCATCGTGTATATATTATGTCTTATAGACTACTGTATACGTACAGTTTTGGAATAAAAACAACAATATGCTACAAGTTACATTATGAGTTATGACGCAAACGGTAAAAATTGTCTTTTTGATAGACACTTCCGTGATTTAGTTCAAATATTGACATTGTCCGCCGTTGTGGTTTGGTAATGTTGACATCTCGTGCAGTGCACACAATATATCTTAAAATAGGTGTCGAGTTAAAAGCACAAAATTGGCGTCAGGATAGAATTGAAAACTGAACATTACGTGCATGCAATTTGATTATCATATTTCTAGTGAATTTAAGCCAGGTCACAAATACCATTGGTCAGTCAATTAATAAAGAGACCCCTTGTAATGACGTGGGCCCGCGTTAATAGCGTGAAGAATTGAAGAAAGTGCGGTCATACAACGAAATGAATTTGATATGCCTATAAACAATGCATAAATAACTTTTTCATATCATTCAGAATTTTCGTTCAAATCCCTCCTGTGATCATCAACTGTATCTGTATTATGATGACAAGTTTCAGTCAAATTTGATATAAATAGGTCGTTTTCTTTCATAAAGCACACATCTCAAATAATTCGAAGGGAGGAGTCTTGATCTATGTGCCAGATTTGTATAACACGCTCCAAAATTCACCCATCTTCAGAGACGTGTTGCCTACCCCCTGAGAGAATACAATATCCAGATCTCTCTGAAGGGTTACGCCCTATTCATACACAGCTGAGATGTAGAACGGAACAGTATAGACAGAGCCCAATTCCATACCTCGTTAGGTTGCTAAATGACTCCTAATTTATATGACTGTGTATATTCTATTTTATGGCTTTTGTTATGCTCCCTTTCTTCCTCACTCTTTACCCCCTTCCTCTATCTCTCTCTCTCTCTCTCTCTCTCTCTCTCTCTCTCTCTTCTACAAATCTTGCCTTTTCTTCTTTTTTTTCCTTCGGACGGAAAATTGGCCATTGGATATATAGGTATGTTAATTTACATAATCATGTCAGCTAACCCAACAAAAATTGACCACTACAAGGAGCAATTCTAGACAAGTAATATCATACAGTACATTTATTCTTGAAATGAGATAGTAAAGGTGACCTTAAATTATTTATGTGTGTGTGTGCTATATAAACGTTGCCATTGTAACGGGCCATTGTAACGGGGCGTTGTGGCGTGCGTCAGTAATCCAGCTAACAATGGAAATTACAAACTCATTCAACAGAGGACGCAGGTTCGAACGTCTTTCGGATGGTGACGTTAAAGGTCGGTCCCCAAACGTAAATAATCATATCTGATTGATACACGTCTGTAAAAGCCCAATTACACACACCGAGATCAATGTTGGCTTCTGTTTTCCTTCATGTATATTTCATGGAGGGTGATCACCATTGAGTTGGAATTTTAGCCAATAAGCCAAACCACTATTGTAACTGCACTGGTATGCGCTTGCTTATGCATGAAAGCTGGATGTCACATTGTATTACAAAATGGATATCTCATTATTAATTGATACATGTAATAAAGGGTCGTGAAAAATGAGCTACACAGTGTGTGTTTGTGTGGCATCCAATACTTAATAGCTGCAACATCATACAATACAATACAATACAATGAACATTTAGGGCGCCATTCCCATAAGGCTCAGAGCGCTAACATCAAATAATATTATTGGTCTTTACTACATGTAGTAATTAAAGCAGCAGCATACCGGTAGCCAAACACAGTATCATGTCCAAATGCAATATATTAACGGGGATGTAAATGACCAGATTATTTCATTTCATTTTCATTTCATTTCTTTATTGTGTCCATATAGGATAATTGTTTATATGCACCTGAACAATCTTGCTTCAACGTATGAACATAGGAACAACATTATAATTGACATTCATAGGGCCCTGTTTTACATTTGATATAATATACATGATCACGATGAATATACATTTAAATAATCTTTTTCTTCTTCTTCTTCTCTCTTTCTTCTAACATACCCTCCATTTTTACCCTATGAATATTATAATCTTTTCAACACGATCCTCCAAGGGAGTAAAAGAAGAGCTCGCATGCCACTAGTTATTATCATAACAGCATATAATGATCATGTCTAAATACAAAATAATGGCGTAAACGTATCAGATATAGCATTTCATTCGCTTCATCATTACTCTAGAGTAACCCCAAAGTGCTTTTCGTACTCTTTATCAGGGTATTCTCGACGTACATGTAAATGCATAATAAAATACGCCAATCCGAGGGGGAAAGGATATTATGCCTATCTCGATCATGAAGAAAATAAAATGTGCACGCTGTGCGACATAAAACAGGTGTTTCTTACCTTTCATCGTTGGATCTAATCAAATCCCTTGAAAATAGGCGTGTTCTAAATATATTGTAGTCTGCTTTATCCGAGTACAGAATTAGTTAAAGGCTCAGTGTATTTCGGAATTTCAAAGAGAGCTTCGCGTTCAGCAAAACCATTAGGGCATCGTGTGCAAGTCTCTCTGAGCTACCGCTCGAAAACCTGAACTATATAGAGGAGAACAATGGCGTAAATCTAACAGCAAATATGATTTTTGCTTCCAGATCATACAAGAAACGGCTATAACAATACCACCCTATTCACAATACCCATTCATTTACGTGTAGTGACCGGTGGTAGTACGAAATGAATGAGGTATAGGCAGCCGTCTGCTCAAGTGAGTAAAATTGGCGAAAACATGGATGACTGCCTCTGATGAACAGGTTTCGATTTTTGTAGGCTTTGTAAAGAAGGGCGGTGTGTTGTCGCCGAATCCTAGAAAGTCCGAACCACAACCAAAGTTTATCTATGTCTATACCAGCTCTCTGACTGTTGTATCGACTAAGCGGCGTTTAGACGAGATATATGTGTCGTTCGTCGGGTGTATTACGTAATAGTTTCTCATCTTCTATTGTGATGATGATGAATGGGTGAAGGTAAAGAAGTTACGAAGGTTAACGATGCCTCGAGATGAATGAAAAGATCGAGGATTGATATAAGGACTTTAAACATTCCTTTCTTCAAAATGAACAACTATGGTAATTTGTGGATATCCTTCGACCGAAGATACAATCCTCCACTGTATTTTCACCTTTAGTTCCGCTCTAATAAATTCACAATATTTTTAAAAACATTCTGTAAGATATAGCGCATTGTCTGCTCTTCTCTTGAACGCGTAATATATATCTGTTTATGTTTAGGGGTACACTATGAGCGATTCCCGTATTCCCATAGTTATTGTGATTGCTTTAGTTTTTCCTTGTATTTTGTTAGATAATTTCATGTGAATATGTACAACGCTGAAAAAACAATGTGTATTATTAGCGCCGATAAATGTAGGTGATTATGATGATGGTGATGGTGATGGTGAAGGTGATGATGATGATGATGATGATTTTTATCATTATTACTTTTTTAATAATAATACTCTGGATTTATATAGCACCTATCACAATTCCGATGTCTCTAAGCGTTTTACAGATGTATTGTCATCGGATTCAGGCTTGCCCGCATACAACGTATGCACCTTCTCCACTCCCTGGGGAACATTCCAGTCAGGCGCCTTTTGACAGACGCTCACAATGCTAAACTTTCGCATCATACCAGAGGTACCTATTCAAAACCTGGGTGATGGAGAGGAGCAATTGCTCACGGACATAATTGTGTGCTGTGCCGGTGATCGAACCCACGACCTTTGCATCTCCAGTCAAGTGTTTAGACCACTGGACTTCGAGACCTCTATAATTTATTATTATAATTATCATTAATATTATCATTAGTAGTAGTAGTATAGTAGAAGTAGTAGTAGTAGTAGTAGCAGTAGTAGCAGTAGTAGTAGTAGTAGTAGTAGTAGTAGAAGTAGTAGTAGTAGAAGTAGTAGTAGTAGCATCGTCATCTTTATATTTTTCTTTCTCTTTCTCTCTCTCTCCCCCCCCCCCCCCCCCCCTCTCTCTCTCTCTCTCTCTCTCTCTCTCTCTTTATACCAGAACTATATACATACCTGCAATTTGTGGGGAGTGATAATAACTGCAATAAAATATACACCGTAACAAAATATCAACTCATTTTCCTGATAATTGCCTCCAAGACAACATTAGACATCATACATGTGCCGTTCATACTTGTCATACAGACTCGTTCTCCACATAATTATTTCATCAAATACTTTCGATTTTATTAATTTGCTAATATTTTCAGTCGGATTCTCGATCTACAATCCAAATGGTCTGAAATAAACTCTGGTAAAGAGAACGAGACAGAGAGGGCGGGGGATAGGGGGCCCTGGGGGGGGGGGGGGGGTGGCTGACAAATAGACCAACAGCCAGAAAAGAGACTGACGGTAGGTAGTATTAAGTACTTCCTCGCCCATCTATCTATACTGATTGCATCGGATACTTACCTGCGCTGTGCTAGACTTTTCGGCTTTGATATCCCAGCATCATTTAAAATGAATAACTTGTTGTTTTTGTTGTTGTTTTTGTTATATGTCCTACTATTTTTAAAACTTTATTTGTTACGTATATGAAAAATCATTTATCCATTAAAAATATATATATTGTCGTTGTGAAGGTATTATGGTATTCATTCACTTTACTCTCATTCCCATGAGTTTTGAGGGTTCCAATCCAATTCCAGGTCTTTTGGCAATCTCCACTATTAAGGTTGAGTTTGGTTTAGTTTTATTTACGATCATAAAATATGAATTTACAAACATCATAACACTAAAATATTGTACATCGGGACTATTCTAGAAAAATAAAATATTGAAAAATAAAAATGAAGGTCGAGGGATCACCCGCTTCAGATTAACAAAGTTGGCATGATTTATTTATTGAAACGCACTGTGCGCTGAAAACGTCTGCCACGAATCTACTGGGGAAATAATGTCCAAACTTCTTTGGAAGCGCACAGGGACGCATCATCATGTGATATCGACATCCCGATCGACATATTACTATACAAGAACGGTTAGGATAATATTTAGGATTAAAGGGTAATCCAACCCTTGTAATAAGTTCACTTGTATGAAACCGGGATAATAAGATTAACAGAATGGCGAAAGTTTGAAATAAATCGGACCAATGATTATAAAGTTATATGAATGTGTGAAATATGTGATCACTAAGCCTATGCGAATCTCAAATTGGCAGTTTGGTCAGTGGACTGTGACGTAGTCGCAGATAACTCTCCCGTTTGTCGTGTATAAAATCATCAAAGTTTTGTGTATTTCTCCTAATTGCATTACCAAAAATATTAGTATAGGTCCTACATTTTTGAAAAATTGAAAGTTTAATCATGTTGTGTGTTGGAACAAACGGAAAAATTGACAGATTCAGCTTGACAGCTTGACAATTACAGATTCAGCCAATTTGTAGAGCCCATACATGTAGTAGTTTTTTTGTTTTGTAATATTCTTTATTGTATTCACTCAATAAATAATATTAATTCATACAAATTGTAATATATAACATATTGAAACCAATTACAGAGCACAAAATACAGTAATCTCAATTATATTGAATGAATTAATATTGTTATAACCCCCCCCCCCCCCCCCTCTATATTTTGTTCTGTGCCACTAGTATCCCTATTACATATTACAATTTATAACATATTGGAACAAAGTACATACTACAATCAACTTAGTTATATCGAATGAATAAAGTTTGTTAAATCCCCTACCCCCGTTAAAAACAAAACCAACAAAAAACACAAAACAAAACAAAAAACAAAAAACAAAAAAAAAAAAAAAAAAAAAAAAAAAAAAAAAAAAAAAAAAAAAAAAAACGATACAAGAAGACGTGGGCAGTCTATGGCAGTCGAGACCGGTCAATCACACACGGCTGTGAACCGGGCAGGCCCCCCCCCCCTTTCCTCATCCCTTGCATTTTCTTGCATATTATCCATGTTTACCTTGAGATGTTCCCATTTTTTATAGTGGAGCGTCAACGTATTTCGTTCAGTAGCACTCTTTCTTTCTTCCTGTTTACTTTTGAATATTTTCTCTCTTATTTCTTCAATACTTGGAGGCTTCTTTTTTTCCCTACTAATAAATATCAAATATTTAATTAATAAAACCACGTGATTAATCATTTGCCTATCTTCGGTTATTTCGTCTAATCCAATGTGAACTTCCTTCCAGCTCATATCTTTAAGGATTGGAATATCCAAACTATCACTACATTGATCCCATAATTTTCTCACCATTTCGCATTCAAAAAATATGTGCCTATATGTTTCCTCTTCTTTTCCACAAAATGAGCATTTATCACTTAATATGAATTGAAACCTGTATAAATAACGATTGACATAAACAATTTTATAAAGCAATTTGAATTGAAATTCTCTTAGTTTATAATCTAAAGTACTAATTCTTGGTCGGACAAAAACCTTTTCAATTTCTTTAACCGACAGATTGTATGATGAATGTAAATTCTGAAAACTGACAGGGTGGTTACAACCTCCAAACTATCATAACTATCTTTTTGCGATCGACTTCTAATCACTCAAACTCTCACCAGTATAATTTTTTCCCGGGATATTTTTTTTAATTCTTCTGTTTTCTTCTAGAGGCCTAGTTTGCTTTCAAGGTTGGATTTTCCCTTTGACAGACGTCCATCTTGTGAAGAAAATCATAAATAATAAAAACCTAATCTAATAATTAAAAAAAAAAAAAAAGATACACACACACATAATATGGAACATAATAATCCAAAGATCAGTGACTCAAGAACTGCCAGTGATATTGAGCAGCGCCCTCTCCGATACATACTTAAAAGGAACAAAATTTACTTGACTCATGCCATCGGAGTAGGATTGGTGTTTTACGAGATAATAAAGTGAGTAAATTAGAGCTATCATCTCCTTTTCCACAATTCATTTAATGAAGTATGAGTTCTATATGAACTCTTTGGTAAAATTATACCTATATTATTTCATTGACTGTCGAAATTGAGTAGCATAACTTATGCCTTGCTTTGTCGCCGACAAGTGATCTACATTTCGGTCCCATATATTCACATTTTTGTCAGTTGCCTATGTAGGCCTAGAGCACTTTCTTCGAAATCGCGCAGCGCACAACACAGGATGTCGGGACACTGTGAATGCCAGCCTTACAACGTAAGACTGAATTCCTTTTGTAGCGAGCTGTATCAAATGTAAAATTATCAACCACTATTTATTTTGTTTGTGTGTGTGTGTGTGTGGCACATTGATTGTGAATGCCTGATAATGATTTTGGTATGACAAATCTTTTTTTATTTTTTTCCTTTGTTTGATCAAACTTCAATTCAATTCAAATTCAAATGAGGTTTTATTCAAGACTTGTCAAAAAGTCCAAAGACTAAAAATGCAAGTTTACATCACACCTGCATACAATCATATAAAAGCGCATCCAGAAACAAGAAAACATAGCAAATGAGAAAAAAATATAGAAAAATAAATAAATGTTTACATAAAAAAATCAAAGCATGCCAGTAACAACTTGCAGTGAAGAGGCGATGTCAAACTCAAAAGATTACGCAATGATATTATTTTAATCACTGCTTTCATTTTGTTTAAAATCATATGTTTAATGAGTGGATGGAGCTAGCCTCTGAATCTTTGCCGTACATGTTGACAGGACAACAGGATGCAGATTGCCAGATCGCGAGATGTAGGATGTGGGCAAATGCCAAATAGACTAGGCAAAGAGATTGAATCAAATTATTCATAAATTATAAATGTGTATGAAATACAGGGATTGCAAGTCAAGAATCTTTCCTGTTTATTTTTTCCTCAGTACCTGTCCGTAATCCGAGGTCTACACTGCAGACAGAGCTTTTGAATCCTTAACTTAGGAGTGAGACAGATAAGACAGATACTCCACCATGGACAGGTTACTTCGACTTGGAGGAGGTATGCCAGGTCTTGGGCAAGGCACCACACCCAGCGATGGACCTGTGGTTGATACAGCAGAACAAGTTTACATCTCATCTCTTGCACTTCTCAAGGTAAAAACCTCAAAATACATGATACACCCTATAAACCCTATTCTACCCCCGCTCACATACGCACAAAAAGCATTCTTGTTTTTTCCACTCTTGAACGAAGACCTTCCTTTGACGTTCATTGTGAAGTGATAAAGAAAGTTATGTTGTAAATCTGCAATTTGGCAGAGGAGAGGATAATTTACTGTGCTTGTGGAAGTCTCTCAGGAATGTTGGCCAGATATGTAGTTGTAGAAATGTTTATGATTGAGTTTCAAACATAAGTCACCTCCTCATATCTATGTGAGTTGAAAATCATTCTATCGATGAGAAATTGATATTTGTGTGAAAAATTACACAAATAGATAATAGGAATACGGTTTATGTAGGGTAATGTTGCTACTTTGTGTATGTGGAATATGGTTTGCATCTTTTCTTTGTGTTGCTCTTGTACATACTGGCACATTCAGTCATCAAGTTATTAAAATTTATGGCAAGTAAACTGAGAATAACGCTTAATAGGAAAAGATATTTAGATCTCCCTTGATGCCATTTGAGATTAATGTGGATTTCTAATGTTTTTTTCTTATCTTTGCTGCAATCTTTTCTTTATTTCTGTTTTAGATGTTAAAACATGGCAGAGCTGGAGTACCTATGGAAGTTATGGGTCTGATGTTGGGAGAATTTGTGGATGATTACACAGTCAGAGTAATTGATGTCTTTGCTATGCCACAATCAGGAACGGTAAGATCGCCTTTAACAAGTCCTTTTCTCTCATATTATCCTACCCTTTCTCTTCTTCATCATCTTTGACAAAAATTTCTCTAATATGTCAGTTTTACTTTTCCTTCTTTCTTATTTTGTAGTTGTATCCAGTGAAAGAAAGTTTTTTGATATAATCATAAATTGAAGTGAAAATAGGCCAAACGGTGAGCTGTCTCAACTAATTTTTGTCATGCCCTTGTCAGCAACTACCATTTAAATCATAAGTTCAGTTTGAGTTAGGCAGTGGGTAAATGGTTTAAATCATTAATTCAGTCTACTCACAGGTCACTAAAAGTCTCTTTAAACATGTCTCTTTGTGTGATAAATATTCTCATACCAGTTCTGTGAACACATACAGAAAATCAGTTCACTATAGCCAACAGTATCATGAAGCATTGTCTACTTCATCATCATATAATTTATGAGCCTATTTTATTAGATGTTTATTTTTCTCTCAGAATAGTTTTATTAGAGGTCTTTTATATATATTATTAACAATAATTCTATGTTTAGGATATATAGTTTAGGATTTCAAGGTAAATATATCATGTAATTTTATTTAGTCTGGGAATTACTGTGATAGGCCTGTTAGCCTTTGTTATTCCCACTACATTATGAGTAATATATGTTTCTTTTAAATCTTTGTTTTACATATATACACACACATGTTTATTGTATTTTTTTTTTAAACTGTGGAAATATACTTGAATTGAATCTAAATTAATATCCTCTGCTTTCAGGGAGTGAGCGTAGAAGCTGTAGATCCTGTATTCCAAGCTAAGATGTTGGACATGCTGAAGCAGACGGGTCGTCCAGAGATGGTGGTGGGATGGTATCACTCTCATCCAGGGTTCGGATGCTGGTTGTCGGGCGTCGACATCAACACACAGCAGAGTTTTGAGGCCCTTTCAGACAGAGCGGTCGCTGTCGTGGTCGATCCCATACAGAGTGTGAAAGGGAAGGTGAGAAGGAATTGACTGTTTGACTAATCATCTTTAACTATTATAAATGATTTAGAATTATTATGTAAAACAGTTATTCATCATAATCTCTTAGGGCTTCATCAGCTCCTACCTTTGTCATTCCCAAATCCTGTAAACAGGCTGGTTTCAAATCCTTAGCCCCACGTATCTGGAACAAGCTCCCCTTGTTCTTAAGAAACAGTACTTCACTGGAATTTTTTTCAAAAACTAACTGAAAACATACCTGTACAACTCCTCTTAAATGTTTGATAGACTAAGAGACAGGGTCTTGTATCCTTTGGAAAAAGCGCTATATAAATCCAATTATTATTTATTATTATTATTATGCACATTGATCACATTAAAGACAGTTTTCATTTGCATATTAAGCTTATTAAATTGTTTTAACTCAGTATTTTCGTAAAGCTTGTCTTGCCCCGCAAAACAGTCTTAAAATTGACTTCTTCTTTAAGAAGCCATTTCAAAAGGTTGCACTAGGACGCTCTTTCAGTCATTTAACTATAAATTAGTATCATACGTTGATACTAATCTTACCTTACATGAAAGTTCTTGTAGTAGAGTGTACAATGTATGTTCATGTTTTACATGTAGGTGTGTAACCAGTCTCTTATGATTTTAATCATTACCCCAGGTTGTAATAGATGCATTCCGATTGATCAACCCTAACATGATGGTGCTGGGGCAGGAGCCTAGGCAGACCACATCTAACCTAGGTCATCTACAGAAACCATCTATTCAAGCCTTGATCCATGGTCTTAACAGACATTACTACTCAATCGCTATCAATTACAGGAAGAATGAATTAGAACAAAAGGTAAGACAAATATTCTGTTAAAGGTATTGGGTAACCTTGCCTTTGCTTTTTTTAAAACAAAATCCTGGATTTAGCTCATGCTGCAATCATAGTTATAAACCTTTAGGTCAGATATGAATCCCACTTTTACAAGCCAATCGCATGTTTGGATATCAAGATATTTATGATTGGAATTCAAAATTTGAAAGACCGTTTTCCCGACGTTTTCTTACAACACTACAGTCTATTGGGGAAATGAGTATGGTAAAACCGGTCAATCAAAGTTTTTTACTTTTTTGAAACACTACATGATCATTTTGAAGGGCAATTTTTTAGGGCTTCAATATTACACCATATCACGTAGGGCCATGCATCTCAGAAGAGAAAATAGTGGCAATTAGTGGACATTGGAATTGAATTATAGAAACATCGACAACTAAGTGAAAAGAATAAACACCGTTAATGAATAACACATATTCAAGAACTGATTATTACAAAATGCATGCTTTCAGGAAGTCAGGATTTTCTAAGTGGAATATTTGATTGTGAGAATATAAGGGGTAAAGTATTTATTATGTTTACTCAAGGGAGATGTTGATCTGACTGAAGGATAACTTGCTGTATTATACAAAGGGAACATGAATGAATTATTTTATGACATATGATGAAGGCATTTTGATCTGGATAATGTTGGGCCAGTTTGTTTTCTTGAATTATGAGAAATGCTTGTTGTATGGAACAGATGCAGTTCAATCTTCACAAATTAATAAATGGATATGCAAAATATGTGATCCTTGCCATATATTGTATAGATAGATGCATGCATGCTTCAAATCAACTAAAAAGAAAAAGAAATATATATTGGAAATGTAAAGATGTTAAATCATTCTTCATTAAAATAGATTATTATTATTATTATTATTATTTATTCGACCATAAAAACACATTCAGCATGTACAGTGTATATAGGTGTATACAGAGTGAAATAGGAAAAATACAAAGTAAGATAAAGAAGGAATAGCATGTGGGTCAGGGTGCACAAAAGCGAAATTCTTCCCTGTTGCCCGGGGGCATGTGCACCCTCACATGCCATTCCGAGACATAATAGAATATATTGCAAGGTTCACATTATATAAGTATACAAAATAATTACAAACAATCATTCAGAAAATCATGATTAAATTAAATTTCGATAAATGCATTAAGAGGATATGAAGCTGCAATGAATAGAGTGCTTTAAGATTTGTATGCAGAAAAAACTTAAAACTTAAAATAACCAGAACACAATTAACATAAATCGTCATTATTCAATTGATCCAACGGTGTCTCATTCAAAGAAATTCTAATTAAAAAGAAAAAAGAAGAGATGTGTAATTGTTCAAGGTAAATCTGACCAGCAATTTCTTGTATATAACAAAAATATACATATGAATAGAGCGTAAATATTGTTTTGGACTATACAATCAAGGAAATTATAAAACGTCATGTACCACAATAATGTACAATTTTTGCAGAAATTAAAGGTGCAATAAGCATTAGGATTGATAATCATTCACAAAATATTGAGTAGGGCCTATGGTGTTATCATTTAAGAAGAGTGGCATAATGTGGATATGAAGCTATCAATGTGGACCATTGTTCCAGGTTCAATTAATATAATCATTGTATCATTGAAAAAAAAAGAAAAAAAAAAAAAAAAAAATTAAACAAGTAACATTCTGAATCCAGTGTTTCAATAAGTTCTTGGATATTGATAAACAATGATTATTAAAGAAAAGGAGGAATCCCCCACTCTCAGTGAGGAAGCCCCTCTCAGTTTGAAAATTAGTTAGAATTGAGAAGGGACCGCTTCATAGAGAGTAGAAAGGATGAAAGTGAGGAGACCACCGATGCATCCCTAACCTCTAACGGTAATTCATCCCATACCCGAGGAAATCTCCGGGAAGCGGACAGGAACAGGGCCTGTGTTCGTGATTGCTGATGAATGAAGGACAGTGTAAAGAGGCGTCTCTTGCTAATGGCTATGTTTTCTATTAGTGTTTCACAGTCACAACAAAAGTACAGACATTTGAAGGTAAATGAACATAAAAGATAATCTCTACGAGCTGACAAGGTAGACCAGTTGAGAACCCTTAACCTTTCTTCATACGGCATTTCTCCTCTTCTCTGTTTAAGAGCAACGCGCGTTGCTATACGTTGGATTCTTTCTAATTGTTGTGTTTGTTTTAGGGTATTGGGATGCCATGCAGGGATGCCATATTCAAGTATTGGCAGTACCAAGGCCTTGTAGAGGGCAAATATAGCAGAGGTGGACGAACCATGGGCTACAACTCTTATAAACCCAAGAAGACGACTCGCGCGTGCAGTAATTGCATCAACCTGAATGTTCCAAGAGAGGTTTGAACCTATTACAATACCAAGATATTTGTAAGAAGTGACAGAAGAAAGCAGTGTGTCACCCAGGGTAGATGTTGTTTAATGTTCAATTGTTCATAAAATTAAAAGAAGTATAGGACATTTTAAGATGTTTTTGTCATACTCCCTCCGTATGTCATTAAATGTTTGTAAAAAATATACAGATTTATGTAAAGATGGTTTATCATTCTTGATTGGAACAGATGCTCTTAAATCTTCACAAAAAGAGCTGGATGGATGGATTGACGTTGAAGGATTACAATGAACATTGCAAGCTGAATGAATCAACTGTCAAAGAGATGCTCAACCTGGCTAAGGTTTACAATAAGGTAGGTGTAAATGTTCTCTAGCATTATAAGGTGCTTTAATTCTTATTAAGTAAAACATATATATTATTGAAGTTATGTAGTGACAAGGATTGTATCAAATCAGCTTTCTCTCTCTCTCTCTCTCTTCCTCCCTACTTCCCTTTCTCTCACTTTTCCCCTTTTCTCCTCTGTCAAGTAATGTTTGCTCTTAAATGTTTCTTAGAAAGCATTCAAAAGCCCATTTCCACTAAACATAAAGCATATTATATCCAATGGCTAGAGAAAAGATAACCATTTGTTACTATTACTAAGGTACTTAATATAAGCCACAGCATAATGATAAAACTAATACATGTAGTACTATTCTGGAATTACATAGCACTTAATATATCTGCACTATTAAACCTTGATCACAAGCTTTCAGGCAATATCAATCATTACATTAAACCATTTTCCTCCTTAATAATCTTTTTCCTTGCAGGCTGTAGAGGAAGAAGACAAAATGACGCAAGAGCAACTGGCCGTGAAGAACGTTGGCAAGTTGGACCCTAAGCGCCATCTGGAAGAGAGGGTGGAGGTTCTAATGACATCGAATATCGTCCAGTGCCTCGGTGCTATGCTGGATACTGTTGTATTTAAATAGTATATTACCAACTGTCGTCACATGTAAATATTTTGTAGGTATTCCCATGTAAACTATCTATCACCAACAATATCAATTGAATTGGTGAGTATCACAGAAGAGAAAAAAAAACAAAACAGCTTTACACAAGTTTCTTGGTGAAGCATCAGATGTTTTGACCTCCATAATTTCTGGTGAAAGTTTTTCTACTGTGCTTAATACTGGTCCAACAGTAAAGGGTAGACATATATGTCATTTGGGTAAAAAATTTGAACAAATTACTTACCTACTTCTGGAAAAGAAAGCAAACCCTGGTGCATTGTAATATTTTGGCTAAATGAGACATTACAGGTATGTCATTTTCCACCCTAATCTGCTGGTACACTTGGTACCACACGTAATGAATTATCCTAGCTCTTGGTTTGATTCTGAAATGCAGGTATGTGCAGCTGATGGGTTTCCTGTTATTCGTGGGAATTTCATTTCTGTATTTGATGCCTTGATTTCATGCTATTGCACCCAGTGATTATAATGATGTATTTTGGTAAAGGAAGGATTGGGGATAAGCCTAAACCTAAACCACAATCAGATTTATTTGAATTTTTTATTTTCCTAAAATGTCCTTTAATTTCTGTTATGGTCAGATGTGAAAACTGCTTCAAGTTATGATATGTGATATTGCCAGAATACTATACGCATGGTTGAAGAATGCTTTGAAAAAGAACATGCATTTGTATCCAGACAACGGTTAAAATTTCCTGTAGGGTGGGGGGGGGGGGGGGATCAAATTAAAGAAATACAGTTATCAAAGGAAGTTTTGGACTTTTCTGTATGATGACATACATGGCTATTGGCAGAAGGGTTGGTACTTTCAAGAGTTCAATTTACTAGCTTGCAGTATATTTTTTGCAATGAGCCGATGTAAGTTGTGAATTAAAAAAGAGAGTCAGTTACATCCGAGATGCATAGAAAGTGTTGTGATTTATATGGAACTGAATGAGCAACTCATTCCAGAACGCATATAGAATTGAAGGATTTTACAGATACTGAGAAGTTAGCATATGGACATATTTAAAGATAAAAATCATTCACATTACAGATAATTAAGTGAGGTTTATTCTTACTTTGACTAACGTATATTTATTTGTTAATGAAAAAAACATGCGAGATGGCTACTTTTGCAGCCCAAAATGTATATGTATGGATATGCAGGTCATTGCATCTCATAGAAATTTTTGTAACACAATTGCAAGTATTGATTATAAGCAAAGCAAATTCTTATGTATTCTTCTTATTTCAAGCAAAATAAAACTTCCAAGAAATTGAAACACTTTGTTGTATCAAATAGTTATCAGTCACAGAAATCTATTGCCAGAGATCTGCTCACTAATCAACCCCAAAAAAAATCTCATTTGTAATAGATTTTTGTGACATCATTCTAGGCCTTTCATGAAGAAGGTAACTATGTTTGTAATGTTTCATTATGTTGCAAATAAAGATGTACATAATGTACAATGTACTGTCATTTTGCCTTTCTGTTTTTCTGGTTGTTCAGCATTCATATTTCTTAATTCAAAAAGATGTAGGACATGTGTTTAATATGTTATTATGAGAAAAATAAATACATTCAAAGGGAAATAATTGCTTTGAATATTTTAACACACCAACATTAAGTGCTCTGTACAACTAGGTAGAAACAAAAATTTGTGCAGAAACCTCTAGCCATCATATCCATTCCACTCTCACTCATCTCTCTTTCCTCCCTCCCTCTCTCTCTCTCCCTCTCCCTAAATCCTTGTATCTCTACTCACTCATGTGTTCTCTCTCCTCAATTTTTCTCCTTTCTTTTCCCTTCCCCTCTACTGGTATTTTCTTTCCTCTCTCTAGTCTAGAATATGCGCCACTCTTTCCCCTCTCTTTTTTTTTTTTTTTACACTTTTCTATATTTACTACATCAAACTGCAGTAACTTTTTTCATTTAAAAAGTGCTTATTTTATTCTTGGAACATTTCAAAACACATAACCCCTCTAGATAAAGTTCTTCACTACTCTTACTACTTAACATTGCAACTAAATATTTTATTTTTAGTGCATGATAATTGAAAACCATTTTCAGATAAGAATACAAAAATACAGTTGACACAAACACATAGCTCTTGGAGCTTTAATACAAATAACTAAGTAGTGCTAAGTTTTCTAAACAGAACATTGAGACGATCTCCAGCAAAGTTTCATGATTTTCAAAATTTGAGTACTGATAATCAAAGAGTTTAGCCAAATTCATGCATTAGAAAAATAAACTGGACAGTAGCTTCGGTATCCTAAATATATTTAATAAATTTGCCACATTTATCTCTTTATCTGTTTATTTTGCAGTAAAAAAAAACATGTTTGGTGCCGTTGCCAAAAATGTGTTGGAAAAGTAATTTTAAATGCTTATATATTCTCCATATAAATCTATAAATAATGTAGTTGATGAAATTTACCTTAAAGGTACTATGTCCCATTTGCAGGCCAAAAAAATGAAAAAGTTAAATTCCAACTGCATTTGAAAGATAATACTAATTTAGAACTTCCCTAAAAAAAGTGGAGCTTAAAAATGTGTTCAAGTGGGAAAATAACGACTATTAGTTGTCAAATCGACTTTAGGGCTATAGAGCCCAAAAGTAATAGTCTTGATTTTCAGACAAATGGACCGAATGGTCATATGTTTTATGCTGCGTAAAGATTAAATCAGTTTAATTTTGGCCATCACAAGAAGTGGGTTATTGATGTAGACAAATGCTCATGTACCCTTTACAACTCTTTTCATGTATGTTATTACCAAAGAAGAAAAAAAAGCCAGTCAGTCATTCAATAGTGTCTGACAGTGAAGTCTAGCAAGTAAACGGGTTTCCTTGCATAATTTGAATATGAGGACACTGCTAACGTTTAAATTTCACAGATAGGACATACATGACATATTCATAATTCCTGCAAAGTTCTACAGAATTTGAGGTTGGCTGCAAAAGGGACATAGTACCTTTAATCAACACATTCAGATGGGAACATACTCTATGTATGGCTCCGCATAGGAAGTACACAGGGCTCTACAAGGTTACAGACTCTTTGGCCCAAATTCACAAAGGAAGTTTAACTTAACCCATGGTTTAAACCCTCATTAACATAATCTATGGTTTAAAAATTAGCGCAAAATAAACGTACCAGGCCTTGCGCGCATCTAATATTAGACCTCTGACTGTGTCACGCTTATTTTGTGCTAATTTTAGACCATGGGTTAGGTAAATGAAGATTTAAACCATGGGTTAAAGTTAGAGCTCCTTTGTGAATTTGAGCCTTTAGGTTGTGAACCAAGTGTTAACATTTAAATATTGAGGGGGTCCAGGGTACTTGTTGTTGAAATCTGCACTATGATGGACATCATCAGTGACATTCTTGCTCTAACTTTAAGAATTCACACCAAGCATTGATACTTGCAAGTCTTAAGAATGATCTGGTAGGATGATTGAATACTCAAATAAGGCACTGAGAAGTTTACCTCTTACAATAAAAAAAATCTATTATTCTCAAATATCAAAGAATATAATATATTGTCCCTTATCATAATAGATCATAGAAGTAGTCCAAACCCTGTCCAAGCTCCCATATTGATATTCCTGTGCCAAGCTCCTCAGCTAAAGCTATTCTGGCTGATATTGACTGGAAAAAAAGAAAGAAGAAAGAAGAAATTATGAAAATAATAACAACAACAAAATCCTGTAACCTTTTTTTTAGTTTAGATGCACTGGCTGAGATTCATTATCTTTGAGTTATGCTATTATCCTTGTTTGGGTTTCTTTTCAATGTCCTAAATTTCAGCCAAGAAATATAGTTGTTGTTTTTTAAGGTTGAGAGGGGGAGGAGGGGGGAGACAAAGTAAAACACAATACAACTAACTTTAATAATTATTTACCCATTATCAAAAATTGTTAAGTACATGCTTCTTATTTCACTACATGCACGAAATTAATCATCAAATCAAAGAGGTTATAAAATGGTTATAAACTAGTTGTCAAAGAAATGATTGGCAGATAAAACTATAACAATACAGAAAAAAACATATAAAAAGAAGAGCAAATACATGATTCTTACCTGAAGAGTTGGATAGAATATGTGGCGAGAGATAGATCCATCCCTGACAAAAATACAAGTGAAAAAGATTAATAATTACAGGTATGTACTGCGTTTGTAAAGCATTAATATACTGGCTATTGCAATGCTGACACGGGCATGTATGGCCCTAACTTTATCAGAAATTCACTTCTATCAGGTACCCATTGACTAAATCTCAGCCGTAAGATAGCTCTAAAGTGCATGCTTAGTCTAAAGGGCACACAGCATCAGGCCGGGATGTGAACCCACAACCCTGTGATCGGAAGTCAAGAAGACGAACTGACGGATACTCATGTTTATTGATCCCACAATTAATTTGCGTCAATCTGTCTCCTTTTGGTATTCTGGTAACTGTAAAATTAGAATGGTTCTCCACATTAAAACACTCCAACAATCAATGAACGCATGTTTCCCAATAAAATAATTCAATATAACTTACTTGTATTCAAAGTAGTGTTCAGCTGAATTTGTATCCCATTTTAGTTTGTTCTTTTTGAGTAATTCTAAATACCTGTAATAAAATGCAAGAACAAGAATTTTGACGAAGAGTCCATTACAAAAAAAAAAAAAAAAACAAACAAACAATCCTATCTTGCAAAGAGAAGATGAGAGACAAAAGGCATGAAATAAATAAAAAGAAATATGAAATAGTCTAGAAAAACAGAGAGAGAGAGAGGGAGAGAAAGAGAGAGAGGAGAAAGAGGGAGAAAGAAAAAAAGAGTGAGAGAGAGAGAGAGAGAGAGAGAGAAAGAGAATCAGACATGCATTAAACAGGTAGACATACACATACTACAGAATGTTTTCTAGGTGTCATCAGAATAACAAAGCTACCACATGTCAGATATTTGGTGAAAGCAGTGGCCTTGATCTCATATAGTTTCTCCATATCCTGCTTTGTTTCTCCATGCAGTATCAATTTAATTAAAATCAATGTTTATCGTCCATAATATATGGGGGTTCTTCTTGATTGCATGTACAGAAGGAATACTGTAATAAACAATAAAAAAACAAATGGGCTCCTAAAGTAATGGATATTACATGAAACTGTATGTGTACACAATTATTTGTCAAAACAGAAAATATTGAAGTCTCAATGGTTCATTCAGAATGAGGGACCTTCACGGTTTCAGTGATTTAGTTTGCTTGCCCCATTCCTGGCAACTTTTAAATGCTCATGGGAATCACGATAATGTTTTTTTTTAAATGATTTTCATCCTTTGTTTTGTATATACACTTTGCTTTGCCGAATAAATAAAAATAATGAATAATAATCAAATTATAAATACCATACATTTTTAAAGAAATGTCTATAAAAAGTAAAAATCTTGTGAAAAAGTAGAAGAATCTTACCTAGGACCTATGATTGCATCAGCTGCTTGTGGACCATAGTCATAGCCATAGAAGTTTAGACCAAGCAGGATCTTGGCACGGTTTGGTCCTGGATCTGGGACAAGAGCTTCCACACATAGTCTCACCCATTCAATGGGAGAGTTGGGACCAGGCCTAGGAGAAATATGTGTACAATACAATGAGTAGTATTGTTCAAATAATATTTATACAATTACTGTATGTGCTTTTTTAATAAAAGGAAGAAAACGTTAAGATCTGCAACCTTCAAGTTAATTCTTAACAGTGTTTAAACTTACCTTTATCTACCTTTTGATAAGTAAATTATGTAAAATCATCCCTTACAATCAGATTCCCATTGCATCTGCTACTTGCGTTTTCTATTCATAATATATCTCAATCTATTTCTAAAATGATCAAAAACCCTAAACGATCTTCTTTATAAGTAAAAGCATATGGTGCCTCTGCAAGGAAGTTTGAGGCATCAATGAACACATTTTCATATAAATTGATCTTTCCTCCTTATAATCAACAAATTTTTTTGCTCATAAATAATGCAAAATGTATAAAGACTATGATTATATTATTGCAGATATAAACATCTTCTACATGTATTTTCATGTTTAAAAAAAAAAAACTATCACTCCTCCTTCCCTTTCTCGTTCCTATCTGTCTCCTCCCCCCCCCCCCCTACCCCTCCTTATACCCCTCTCCTTTTCAAAGCAAGTAGTACAGTGCACCATGTTAACTTACCTTTGTACATTAGAGAAGTCATATGTCATAAGGCTAAATCCATCAACCACTGGTGCCAAAATATCGAAATTGTCCTTTGTAAAAAGAGACTGTTGCCTAGAATACATGAGGAAAGAAAAAAACAAGGACGAAGATAAAGACAAGGAAATTGGAAGAGAAGGGGGAGGGGGAGTATACAGAGCCAGATAGATAAAAAGATAAAATATATATTTATTTTTTTCTTCTACTTTCCTATTCTTCAAAAGGTTCAATACTCCCCAGATCTTTGCTTCACTTACTGTTTGCTACCTTTTTTTTCCTGTATTAATAATATGTTTGGGGCTTTTACCAAAACTGAAAATAAATGAATGAATTATGGTTGATGTTCCTTGTGGTGACATGATGGAAAACTTACTCGCCAAGTGATGGTGGAGGTATAACGAGGTAGAAAGCCATGCCAGCATTGCGGATGGCATCTGCTATATCAACGACCATGTGTAGGAGATCATCTTTGTTCATAGACCGGACCTGGCTCCATACCTCTAGTGCAATGCCATCAAATTTGTATTTCTGTAAAAAAAAGAAAAGAGAAAGAGATAGACACTTACAAGGACATGCGTAAAAGATAATATACAAATATTGACTGCTTTGAGGGGAACAGTTAAAACTAATGCCTAAAGTATGCTCCAAATTGAACTGTGCCCCAAAAGAGGGCATAGTGTAGTCTTGAGATCACCGAAAAGCTTAGTTTTATTCATGTCCCAAAAAATAAATAATCAATATTTGTATAATATACTGCCTCCCCTGTGTCAATTCTTAACAAACAAAAATTTAAATATGCATGTCAACGTGTATTCATTTATAAAAAAGAAGAAAATTGATCTGTCCATGAGCATTGCCTGTGTCTCACTCCGTGGATCCATTGTTAACTTCATGTGCAACCTTGCATGGTATGCATTTAAGCCTAGAAGAACTATGCCCAGTCAATATTTTCTAGCTGTTCATAGTGAGTTTAATGCCTGCAGATTGACTAAACCAGTATCTTGACATGCGGTTCATACTTACATGTATCACAGACTTGAGGAGTGTTCATGTATGATCAAAATGTGTCTAGATATTGCAGATAATAGCAAATCACTGTTAATAATAATAATAATACTCAGTTCTTTTATAGCGCATAACACATTACAGGATAGCATGTCCCCATGTTACTCTGTTATTTCAATACATAATTGGCCCACATTTCCTGACATAAATATGGAAGGAAACATTGAATTAGATAGATTTAACATTTGCCTCTCAAATGAAAAGAATGCCACAGTACAATACCTGATAAAATTTGACTATGGTGTCCGCCAAGCTTTTAATTTCAGCCTCACTTTTGAAGACAGCATCATAATCCCTCGTAGTCCAGCCATCAAACAGTAGTCTCGGAGCCATACCCACTTGACGCTTCCCCTTCTTGACCTCTTTGACCCAGCCTGAAAATTTAAGAGTGTAAAGAGATTTCCATAAATTCCACCTGATGAGGATTAGTAATGAACCATCTTGAACTGAATGAAAGGATAATTTCCAGAGTCACACACCTATACTGTGTTCATATGAAACAATAATAACAGGAGTATTAAAGGTAATGATCAGTTTTGGAAACGCCCCCTCTCAAAAAGTGAAAGAATATGTTTTGACTGATAAGTGATGATACAAATTTTGCAGGGAAACCGCCTACTAATTGATATATTTGGTAAATTATCATATCTATCCGGCCTGGATAGATATCGCGTAGTCCCATAAACATCTTTCTGTGTACAATGCTTGTAGCTTTACCAAGACTGGGCCAAATTTCTTATCATTTTGATGATTCCAGAACCTTGCAGTACACACTAATACTTATATGCTAGCTTTTCTGATCAATTCCACAACGTTATTCCTTCACAATGTAATCGCATGACCAGAACTGGCCTTTACCTTTAATGATTTCAAAGGGGGAGGGAGGAGCAATAACACATCTATAAAATGCCTGATAAGCAGGATGTGAAGTGGAATAATATTCACATATTCATTCATACTAACATTGTGCCAAACTCTGAAAATATCTGACTGGTTAAGATAGACCAGTTCACGGTTAGCACATTACTGCAATGACCCCGAATATCCACATATCTTCAAATCATAAAGAGGTCCCACTTTGTACATTATGAAGTAATCACTCCTACAGCCATGGAGGTGGTATATAAATAGCCTTTGTTTCCCCTTTTCAAAGAATACTTCAACCTGTGTATTATGAAGTGCACTGCTTGTGCATAATGAATAATGATTAACTTTCATGACCACGTATTCAGTATTTTGTCTCCATGTATTTCAAAATTTGTTCTGCAATGACCTTTATCCGCTCATGCTCAGACTGCAACCGTGAACTGGTTTATTGATACAAGAATATAAAACAACCAGCCAACCTTTATCTATATCATGAGCTCCAATGATTGTAAACTCCCTTGAGGCTATTCTCTTTACTTGAAGCCACACTGGAGAGATGGCAGTAAACTTTCCTCCGAACCACTTAGCAATGTCGTAACCATGAGAGTTCCACTGTAAATAGAAATCACAGATCAAAAGTAAATCATGAACAAGTCATCCAATAACAGGAAAAGTGAGATGAATTAATATCAAAATAAATATATCACACATGTTTTGCATGTTTTTATAATACACTTGATATAGAGGTTATATTTTGCCCTAATTTTGTTTATCACTTTATGTGCTGTCGTACGGCCAATATATTTTATGCATGACAAGGATACTCCATGTATCTATCTTTTATAAAGTCGTTATTGTTTATATATCTTAAAGAAACCATGTGGAAGGGTGATATTGGGGAGGGGGAAAATAACAGAGAAAGTGTAATTAATAGTTATTTCCAATATTCCTAGTATAATTTACCCAATATTTCATCTCTATTCATGCTTACATTCCTCAGTGTCATTACCGCAGATTATTTTCACCATATTCCTGAAATGAATACGGTACATGATATTTTAATTCTAATCTTTAATTTTGTTGGGGTAAATCAGAGTTGGTTTGTACAAGTATGATAATCTTTAAAAAAGGCATTGGTCAAATTCTTGAAACTTTACAATTCCTTAAACTATAATTTAGCATTAAAGCAAAATCTGTAGGCTGAGGCAGCTAAAGTTTTACTTCTGCTTTAATTATGTTAGATAATGTCAAATGGCATCAACTGAAGTGTGCTCTCATCATTCTTGAGTCTATCTATACATTTTTCCTACAATATATAGGCCTTCATACTAGTGATTAACCAGTGAACAGTTTTCAAAGTGATACATCCCTGTGAAACCAGTGGAATCTCTAATAAAACAAGGTGACTGTAAAATTGCTTGGGCCATCTTGAGACTCACAGGGGTGACATAGCCCAGCACACCTCCTGTAAAGTGTCTTTCCTCTGCCTTTGTGTTGCAATAGTTGGCATGTTCCTTCTGGATATCCTTTGACTTGGGGTTTTCTTGGACCAGGCCTCTCTCCATCACAGTCTTGTCAGATAGCTTGACTTCAGGCTAAGGTATACAATAAGAGATGGGAATTAGGACACTTTTATCACACACATGAAGAAGAAAAAAATACTGTGATATCGTTATCAAAAATTGACTTGGCCATGGAGGTTGGACTTCTGCATTTCAGTGTAAAGTACCTTTCTGTTCATTGGAGCTCCTCTTGGATTCAGTGTTGTAAAAGTGTGAATTTCTCTAAGCGACTTAAAAAGAAAATTCACATCTCTTTGGGAGCTCTCCAAAGGCGAACTGCTCAGCAATCCCATGCACTAGTATTTTTTTCTCTGCTGTATTTCCAAATCTAATATCATTAATCCAACTTAACTCTCTTAGCATTACACAGTGCTCTTTATGATTATTTTTTAAACTACATTATATAAGCATGGATCTGCAAATGCAAATTTTAACACATTCATAAATAAAAAGGCATCATAAATCAAAGTAGGGAGGATGAAATAGGGTGAACGAAAACCAAAAAGGAAAGTGACAGTTGGAAAGAAAAATGGAATATATATTTTGATAGAAAGGTGGAGAAATAAACACAGAAGGAGAGAGAGAGAGGGAGAGAGAGATTTGGAGGGGAGTTGAAGATCTAGAGTAGCTTACTGCTCCATTTTTTGGCTTCTTGGCTCCCTTTTTAGGTGGACTTCCTGCATCAGCTGGTAAAGACCACATGTAGATGGAGAAAATGACCAATATCCATGTTGTCCAACCCCAAGTCACCTGCATCTTGCTTGTTTCATAGAGATGAGGTTACACAGGTGGTATCAATGGGTCCTAGATAATTCTGAAAATATAATAAAATATTTACAGGCAGGTCAGTTCATGGATCACATAAGGAAGGAAAGAGGGAGCATTTTACAAGCTTAATTTTTATCTCAGAAAAGCAAATATAGCATAGCAAAACAAATTGTGTATCAAGACCATGACGATATAAAGCAATAAGTATGTAAATTATATTCAGGGGTAATTGTGCCAGAATAATCACACACATTAATTTCCTAATTGACTCCATTATTATACATAATTTGTGTGTGACAGAATGAACTCGATCTACGCCTGGTGCGAAAGTAACTTACCACCAAAAATTGGATGGCAATCTTGCTCGGATAGTCAGATTTACATTGAATTGAAACTCTCTGTCTCATTCTACACCACTCTTACAAATGCATGAGTTCTAACCGTAAACGGTGTGGTTTACGTCGACGTCTATGTCTGCACGTCACAAGAAAACTTTAAACAAAACATGCTTGCCCATATCAGGAATTAACCACAATATCTGATGATATAGCCGTCTGGTATAATGTTATCATGGCCATTGGCTTGTACAGACAGTGAATATACAAACAGAAGGTTCATTTCATGGGGAGTCTGACGTAGCTCAATCTCTCCACTCCAGCAAAGCATAGTAGTCAACTCTAGCTCTTGGGTGAAGTGACGTCCAGACCTGGGCTTCAGTACACCAGATACCACATGTGGGACTGACCTAAAACTAAAAGAAAAGAAACCTAAAACTCAAAGAAATTCTCTGTTTTTTGGAAGTTTTGAATTTTGATGCCACATGGTACTAATTAGTTCAATATTCAATCAGAAGCAGTCTTATTATTTAGTATAATTCTTCTAGTAAATAGGTTTAATTGACAATTTTACCTTCAGGAAATGTGTTTTCAGACGAAGCGGCTGACTGTGCATCTAAACGCCTTACCTGTCGACCTGTGACGTGAACGATATACGGACAGACAGATGGTTGGATGGGCCTCGGGGAGGGGAGGGGAATTCCCTGAAACGCAAACAAAATATGGATTTCAAAGCATTTGATACTGATTGATTTTTATTCGACAAGCTTCCAACATACAACAATATACCAGATCAATAACAGATCAAAAATAATTCAGCTTGAACAGGATAACCCACGAAAGCTCGAGAGCTTATTTCCATTTGCTTATTTCCCTTACAGACATGTATAAAATTAATAAGTTAAAATAGTAATATTTACAGACAGATTAAAAGAACTACTTATTAAAGATAATAATAATAATAACAACATTAAACTGATGATAAAAATGATATTAAGTACAAGAAGAAAAAGAAGAAGGAGAAGAAGAAAAAGAGGAGAAGGAAGAAGAGGAAAATAATGATGAATTTGTAGAATTTCTATAACGTACGAAAACACAAGTATATACAACATGAAAGTATGAACCGACAGAAGAATAAAAATTTCAATCATATAACATGTCATTCACTTCTCTTCTCTGGCTGTCAAGTATTAGGTATTCCTTTAATTTCCTCTCAAAATGATCATAGTTTCCTATTTCTTTTACACCATTGGGAAGGGAATTCCAATGTTTTATGGCATTGCACGTGAATCAAACGAATTTCCAATACTACCTACTCTTTCTGGTAAGTTAAAGTTGAATCGGCTATTTCTTGTATTATAATCATGTACGTCAGTAATATTGGTGGATTTCACTGAAGTATCAGATTATTTGTTTTTCTTCAGAAAAATACACCACTATATTATATCGTACGAAAATTACACAAAGTCATATTTTAATTTGAACAAGAACAACAGACCTATTCATTAATTATTTAAAGTGAAAATTATGGCGAGATATAGCTAGCTAGGCCCCCCCCCCCCCACTCAGTGTCATTTAGGGTACGCATAATGCTTGTTCCCTCTTTTTGAAAGCAGCCCCCTATCTGAGGACTGCCAACATTTCTGAACCCCCCTTTCACGGGCTTTTCACAGGCTTTTCCTGCCTTGGAGACCCCCCTAAATCATGAAAAATGCTCAATGTACCCCCCTAAATTCGGAATAATTTCTCAGGAGTCCAAAGAGATGAGAGAGAGAGAGAGAAAAAAAAACTTTTTAAAGAAATCTTCGGGTGAAAAGTGAATACACCCCTTTTTTTTACAATTCTCGGGCCGGACTTTGTCGCACGAAAAGTACCCCTTTACCAGACATTTTGGTAACACGCATGGGGTCCGTTCGTTCTCGGAGTGGGGGGGGGGGCACGGAGTTTGGGTCATCGATGTGCTATGGGGGCATGATTTATCCATCACCTCAAAACCCAGCTTTAATAGATGGTGTATGCTACGGGTATGTATATCCACGCCCCTGCATGTAAACCAATTACAACTATTACAACCAGGGGCGGCCGAGCGACTTCCAAAGTGGGGGGGGGGGCACCAACAAAAAAGGGCACTTTCTGGAAAAAAAGGGCACCTACAGTGGGAAATTTCAAAGCGAAAATATACAATTTTTTAGACATTGGTATATACCCCTACATTGTGATTACATTATCAGGGATGATTTCAATATTTGTTTCTCTTCATACATCATACAAGATATCGCTTAAGCATCATAATTTACAGTTGGGTGTGATGTCTGAATATGCATTTACGAGCGAATTTTTTTTTAAAGATCTGTGAGGTCGCAGTGCAAAAAATTACATCTTATAAAGAGGAAAAAAGCCAATCGTGATGGGGTTATAAGCACATTCTCATAACGGAAGACTGAAAAGACCTTTGATAAGTAACATATTACATCATCTTTAAATGCGAGCGAGCGCAGCGAGCGAACTTTGGAGGAAATTGCTCTTAGTCGCTTTTAATAAGGGGCACGTTTAATGATTACATGAAAAGGGGACAATTATCAAAAAGGGATAAGACACTTAATAGAAAAGAAAAGGAGCACGTGTCAAAGTACAAAGGATAATTATAAGAAGTGAGAATGAGGCATTTTTTCACCTGAAAAGAGGCACTCACCAGTGAAGAAAAAGAGGCGTTTACGAAAATGGGAAATAGGCATTTGTTGACGGAAAAGGGGCACCCATCAGATTTTGATAGGAGCATTTATAAGAGGTGAAAAGGGGATAGGTCCCTTATTAGAAAGGAAAAGGGGCACGTATCATTATTAAAAGGGGAATTATCAGAGTTGAAAAGAGGCACTGACCAGATATGAAAAGGGGCACTTATGAAAATGTAAAAGGGGCACTTATAATAAAGGAAAATGTGCATTTGTTGAATGAAAAGGGGCCCCGTTCAGATTTTTAAAAGGGGCAGTTATGAGAAGGGGAAGGAGCTCTTTCTTTTTAATGGGGGCACTTATTAGAAAGGGAAATGGGTAGTTATGAGAAGGGGAAGGAGCTCTCTCTTTTTAATGGGGGCACTTATCATAAGGAAAAGGGGCACTTATTAGAAAATAAGAGGGGCACATGTTAAATGAAAGGTGTGCTCATCCGAGTTTAAAAAAGGGGTAGTTATTAAAAGGAGAAGGGGCACTTCTTACAAAGGAAAAAAGGGTAAGTTGTCAAAGTAAATAGAGCACCTCTCAGTTTTGAATAGGGCAATTATCAGAGGTGAAGGGGGCACTTATTAAAAGTGAAAAGGGGCACTTCTCGTACCTGAAAAGAGGCACTTACTAGAGATTAAAAAGGGCACTTATTCAAGATAATTTCAAGATTTATGAGAATGGAAAATGGACACTTATTGCAAAGGAAAATGGGAACACGTCGAAGGAAAAGGGGCACGTGTCAAAAATAAAAAGGGCACTCGTCAGAGGTGAAAATGGGGAAGGGGCACTTTTACTAAGTAATAGGGGCACTTGTCAAAGTAAAAGGGGCACCTCTTACAAAATAAAAGGGGCACTTTTACTATGTAAAAAGGGGCACCCCCGGGAGGGCCGCCTCTGATTACAACGGGAAGGCCTTACGATAAACATCTAAAAGAGTGTGTTTTTTAATTATTTTTGTTGTCTTTTGTCATTATTCGAGAAGGTAAAATAACTTTATGTGTTATATAATCTCAATATATATTTCAGTTTCATCTTTATCTTTAATAGTTTGATTTTCATGGTAGGCATGTATATCTTGCCATTCAAAGGGATTTTTGTTATATGTGACAAACTATTCATGTTCACAAGAGGCATATGGCATATATTTGTAAAGCGCTTAGAGACATTAGCGCTATATAAAAGCATATTATTATTATTTATTATTATAGCTAGGAAGTCTGAACTTATTAGTGTTATTGTTTCAGTGTATTTCAACAACATTCATTAGCACACATAGTATAAAAGAAAGAAAATGATTGTTAAATTCAACAAAACAGATCAGAGAGAGAGAGAGAGAGAGAGAGCTCATCGGGAGGGGGGCAGTGGCGGATCCAGGGGGCCGGGCCCCTTCTCTTGGGGAAAAAATTGGAAACGGGCCCCCTCCCTTGGCGCTCAAGGGGGGGGGGTGCGATTTTTCAGATTTTCGAGGGACAACAAAAAATTGCTCACCAACTTTTTTTTTCTCTCTCTCTTTTTCTCTCTTTGATTTCTCTCTCTCTCTCTCTCTCTCTCTCTCTCTCCTCTCTCCCTCTCTCTCTATGTCTCCATTTATCTCTATCATTCAGCTTCCTATATGAGAAACATCTTTCATAATATACACCGCATTAACAATTTTGTCAAGAACATTCATTAGTAACAGTATTTACAGGCAACAGTATAAACACAACTATTAAAATCGAAAATATAGACTTTTCAAGAATTATTAGCGAGGGAATAATTGTTTTCCACACATGTTTTATTCTCAATTTGAATCATTGTGTTTGGCACACAAAAGTGTTGGACGAGAAGTAGGTTATCAGACAAGAACAGTGTCACAATCTGTATTCATGGGCGATGTTGTGAAATGGCTGTGCATAATCGTAGACCTGAGAAACCTGATATTATTTTCTCGATTTGTCCATATTTCTGCTTTCTTCATCATTAGAGTGTGTGCCCGTTTGGATAAAAAATACAATCGCATTTTCCCTCACAGCATCAGTCATCATGGCTTAACTTAATATCACAGAAAGAAACATCATCACATTCCTGGAAACGTGCAATGCATATAATTGCGGTGGTATGAAGCTGCATGTATAATGAAGCTTTGTACATAGGAAATTCAGCTCAGCCCTCGGGATGTGTATTATATTCAAAATGATTACCGTTGGTGCGCTTAAGAGGCACATAATATGCATAGTGAATATCTGAGGAATATATTACATTACATATCCCGAGTTGAAAGGGCTGCAATTCATTATGTTTGACAGAGAGGCATTAATAAGGGTTCGCGCATGGGAAAAGGCCAAATATGAAGAAAATGTTATTCTGTGTCAGAGTACCGTAAGGGGAACGAAACCGGTAGTAACATTAAATACTTTCATTCAATTCATTATAGTTAATTTCTGATCGATAGTGACTATTTAAAAACATGCCTGTGCATACCTAAATGTACCTGGTGAAGTAATTATTCATAACCATCAATTAAGTATGAAGCTGTGTCATTATTTAAGTGTTTAACAAGGGAAATGACGAGGACAGGGTACAAGGGTAAATGAAAATACATAAATAAAATTAATGTAGAAACAGAGTGAAAACAAAGGTTGAAAGGTTGATGTGTCCCACATTAAAGAGAAAAGCAGGTTTGTTTTCCTATGTGGACCCTTCTTTGTTCGGTTTGAGGTAATTCAGATCGATCAGGAGTTACAATAATGACATTCTGACCTATTCTCCATCAAGAAACTGTAAAAGATAATCGTTACGTGAGGTTTTGATCTAAGGCTGGTAGGGCCATTACTCTTACATCATGAAGAATGCACGCCATGTCATACCTATCATCGCTTTGATGAAATAGACAATTCTTGCTGCCCCTGACCCCCCCCCCCCCCACTCACCCTCCCCC